CTGTGTGTCTGTGTGTCTGTGTGTCTGTGTGTCTGTGTGTCTGTGTGTCTGTGTGTCTGTGTGTCTGTGTGTCTGTGTGTCTGTGTGTCTGTGTGTCTGTGTGTCTGTGTGTCTGTGTGTCTGTGTGTCTGTGTGTCTGTGTGTCTGTGTGTCTGTGTGTCTGTGTGTCTGTGTGTCTGTGTGTCTGTGTGTCTGTGTGTCTGTGTGTCTGTGTGTCTGTGTGTCTGTGTGTCTGTGTGTCTGTGTGTCTGTGTGTCTGTGTGTCTGTGTGTCTGTGTGTCTGTGTGTCTGTGTGTCTGTGTGTCTGTGTGTCTGTGTGTCTGTGTGTCTGTGTGTCTGTGTGTCTGAGTGTCTGTGTGTCTGTGTGTCTGTATGTCTGTGTGTCTGTGTGTCTGTGTGTCTGTGTGTATGTGTGTCTGTGTGTCTGTGTGTCTGTGTGTCTGTGTGTCTGTGTGTCTGTGTGTCTGTGTGTCTGTGTGTCTGTGTGTCTGTGTGTCTGTGTGTCTGTGTGTCTGTGTGTCTGTGTGTCTGTGTGTCTGTGTGTCTGTGTGTCTGTGTGTCTGTGTGTCTGTGTGTCTGTGTGTCTGTGTGTCTGTGTGTCTGTGTGTCTGTGTGTCTGTGTGTCTGTGTGTCTGTGTGTCTGTGTGTCTGTGTGTCTGTGTGTCTGTGTGTCTGTGTGTCTGTGTGTCTGTGTGTCTGTGTGTCTGTGTGTCTGTGTGTCTGTGTATCTGTGTGTCTGTATCCACTATAACTCATAAATCGATACAAAGAAAAACTCAAAATTTTAATCTTAAACCTTATTCCGGCGTCCAATAAATGGATAAATGGATTAGATGGGGGGGGGGTACTTTATGGGTGGTCATTTTTATATTTTATAAAGAAGAAATTTTCTTTAAAGAAAAGTTACTTACAATATTATTATCAATATTTTTGTTTTACAAAATTTTCCTAAAATGGTCCGTATTCGAGAATTCTAAAAAAATATTTTTTTATAAAAATTATTTAAATAAAAGTTATTTGTAATATATTTCTCTATAATTTTTATCCTATATATAATTTCTCTAAAATGGACCGTATTCGAGATATTTGAGAAACTGTGTAAATTTCGAATTTTGAAGAAATTTATTTAAATAAAAGTTACTTCTTATATTATCTATAATTTTTGTTTTATGTCAAATTTTCCTGAAATATTCCGTATTCGAGAAAATTGTTACACTAAAAGTTGTTTGCGATATCGATCTCTATAATTTTTGTTTTTACATGATTTTTCTAAAATGGACCGTAATGGAAAAATTGGAGTAAAAATGCTAAATTTAAATTTTTTAGTATTTTTGTTTTCAATGAATATCTATAGAAAAATGTTTCGAGGTAGATGTATGTGGAAAATGTATATATTTAGTTTATCCTCTAAACATTTATAGAGGTGCTGCAAAAGGTTGTACAAAATAACCGGAAAATGCATATAATTACTAAATAGGAAAGTCATGTGTTGGACACATCAGATTTTTACTTCTGCTTTTTTGTATTTGTGATATTTTATTTTACGCTAGTCTGAGCTTGTACTTTTTTGTATTGCGCTATTTTTACCTTACATTGTTTTTGTTCGTACCTAAAAATATATTTTAATTATTAAAAAACTGTCTTACTTGCAAGTCGATCTCCATTCTTGAAACAAGCGAAATCTCCCAATTGTTGAAGAATGTTGGACGTTAAGTTTATAGCATTATTTTCGTTCTGTTCCAAGCATGGTTTTACAGCATCGTAAGTCTTTTTGAGACACTCTCTAAATTGAGGACGCTTTTTACAATATTTATCGAACACCTCATCCATGGAACCGGTTTTCTTGGATTCATCTAGTTCATTTTTGAATGCGTCTATATCAATAAGGTTTTCCAAGCAGGTTTGAGTTTCATCTCTGGCAATCTAAAAGTATTAATGTTAAATAGTGAATTTTGTTTGAAATATTGTGTTGAATTATGTAGGTACTTTATTTTCCCGTGAACTCACCAGTACGACCTGTATGAAGGAATTGTTAAATGATCAATGAAAATAATTTAAAAGAACAGTTATTTAAATAAGATAATACAAATTTTGGATACACTTATGAGTAACGTATGTCCTAAACGTTTTGACAGAACATTGACTAGCTTTAATTTTAACAAAAATAAAATATCGTTTTTTTGGAAAATGAAGTTTGATTATGATGTTTTATCATATTTATCTTTAAATAAAAGTTACTTGTAATATTATTGTCTATATCGTCGCCCTAATATGAAAAATGCCATCTCCGTTTTGGAAAATTTTACAGGAGAGAAAAAAAACTTAATTTTTTAACAAATATATTATTACATTATTACTTGTTCTTCTTCATAACTAACACATATAACTTTGGATGTAACACAAAAAATCATTCCCACGAGTTACTCTTTTAAATCAAAGTGTAAGGCTATATATTTTTTTGGCAAATGTCAAGAATATGAACACTAGAGAGAAGGAGGCAAATCGGCAATGGTTAAATTTAAAATTTTCGTCCTTCTTTTTATAAAGTTCGCAAAACTAACTGTAGTTGGCATGTCTAATCACAGCGCAGTCAATTTTCAATGTAAATCAATGTAAAATAAAGTGACTTTTTAAAAAAAGGATGAAAAGAATGAAAATAATGTGACAAAAGTACCTGAGTACAAGTAACATGAAATACAAAAAACATCAAAGCAAGATTTACGTCGTTTCAGATTGTAAAACAGGATAATAATCAAGTGTAAAACTAAAAAAACACAAGAAAAAATCAACTCAATTTCTTATTGAAGCTTTTAATTAAGTAAAATAATGTATTCATGTCTAAATATAATATTTATTGTAAACTAGTCACAATATGTATCTTACGAAGTGTAGTTTATTTTATTATAAGTCTCTATAATATAAAATTTTACAGTTCTAGATGCAGACTTACAAACAACAATAATTATGCATTACAACTTACTAGAGAAGAAAATTAATGTTAGATAAAGAGTTGCTACTGTTTTTTTTTTACCCCAATTGTGTCATTGTAAATATTTTTTATAGGCTAAATATTTAGAACAGTGGCAGCATATATATCGTTCCTAGTGCCGATAAAGCACTTTCTAGAGATGATGCTGCCCTATACTTTTTAGAAGATATCAAATATTATGAGACTATTTTTACTGATGGTACTGTTAGCAAAATAAAAAGAGGAAAGCTGAAATTAAAAGATGAGGTAATACCATGTACATTCTCAAATCTCCCTTAATACTTGTATTACAACTGTAACGAAGTTACTTTTTTTTATTTATTTGAGAAATATAGGATCCGTCGGAAAACCGAATTCAACATTTTATTTATTTATTATCATTTACTGTTTGGTTTTAATAAATTAATTTTATTTGAAAATACTTAAAATTTATTGGAAAACCAAATTATTATTTTTATTTTATTTTTCATATTCATCATTTAGCTTTAACGTTAAAAATTCGGGTTTTCAAACGTTTACTATATATTGAATCTTCCCATCAAAATTTTTTATAAGACAGCGGACGATAGCCTGCAATTCCCCACTTCAATTTTCGATTAATAATCGAGTTTGCACGACGAGTGGCGAAAATCACCTGTAAAACAAGCTGCACCGGCCAGATCTCATGATCTTTCCGCCGACGCTTCAGCTAGTAAGCAGCAATTCTTAGCAGTACCAGCCGCCTCCGATAAAACAAACAAATCCCGTTCAACGAGTACAGGTAAAAAAAAACTGATTTCTTATCGCGTTGTTTTTGGAAATAAATAAAGACACATTCCGATTTATACCTGCTTTATTTTCTTGTTAAATTTGAAATTGAAATACCGAACTGATTAATATTAAAGCATTTTGCTCTGTTAAAGATCTTTAAATTTTTAGAAAGATTTATTTTCATTTCCCGTCTGAATTATTGATTTTTTTTAATTTTATTTTCCGATTTTGGATACGAATAAATTATTTAATAAGATAAATAGATTTAACGATTTAATTGCTGCCAGGTCTAGGTTAACTTTTTTACAGTAGCTGATTCTTTTATTTTAATTTTCTTTCCTTTAAATTAAATACAGGGTGGTACTCGTAATCGATTTAATGAATAAAAAAAAATGTCTGAAAACTAACTAGTGTTTTGTATGCGTGATTGTGTCGATACACTACTAGTGATTAGACATTATCCGTGGATTTTATTTTTTTTTTTATTAAAAAAGGGGTCACGACCGAAAACACATTTTTTTTTGATTTCCGTATAGAAAAGTAAATACTATCTGATACCTAGCCATTGTTTTGTATTATGATTGTGTCGCTACACCGCTAGTGATTAGGTATTATCCGTGCTAAAATTTAGTTCTATTTTCCTTTAAATAGTTCTTCGATTAAAGTTTAAAAGAAAAGAAAATATTGTCTGAAAACTAAATAGTGTTTTGTATGCGTGATTGTGTCGCTACACTACTAGTGATTAGACATTATCCGTGGATTTTATTTTTTTTTTTATTAAAAAAGGGGTCACGACCGAAAACACGTTTATTTGAGTTCCGTATAGAAAAATAAATAGTATCTGATGCCTAGCTAGTGTTTTGTATGCGTGATTCTGTCATCACACTGCTAGTTATTAGATATTATCCGTGGTTACATTTTGTCTTTAACTTTGATTTAACTCCGAAAGGGTGGGATATTAGATGGAAAGCTAAACTAGTTACCTGGTACCGATTAATTTTATTTTTCATAATTGTTAATATTAAATTCTATTTCCGTTTATATTCCCTGTTCATAACTAAATGCTACCGTAATCCGATTTAATCCAGAATTCTGTGTCATTTGCTTTTATATGTATATTTATCTAATCACGTCTGATTGAGCTCCGACCTGTCAAGCCATCGTCCGCAACCGCTTATTTTTGTTATTTTTTTGTTCAGGGTTATAACGACTCGTAAGGGGGTGGGCTTTGAAATATTTTTCTTTTCATTATTGGTAATAGCTTTCGTAAGCAATAGATTTTCTCTTTTAGCTTCTACAATTCTTTAAACGTAACAATAACGATTAAAGCCCGTTATTGTTACCCTCTTATGTGTATAGTCTAACATCAGCGAGACACCTGGAGTTTTTCCGTCATCTCCACTAGAAGTTACCTGTATTGTGGAGCAAACCACATTAATAAAACTGGCGCTCGAGTACTTCCAAGTCCTAGGGTGTCACTTGTAAGGGTAATATTTTCTTAGAGGCAAGAAAACATCTTACAAAATGGCGCCCGAGCAGGGACTGTGTTGATTTCTATTAGTTATTTCCATAGCCCCTAGTATACCCGATATTTTCTCTTAAAAATTTCTTTATTAATTTTTTTTTTATTTTCTTCTGATTGTAAACCCATCCGTGAATTAATCTGCCAAATACCGTAATTATAAGCCATCCGTAACAATTATATTTTTTTAAAACATACAGAGCCATCCCCTGTCAATATTTTTTTTTATTTCACCATTCTTCTACTTCCTACTTCTCTGTTCAACGATCTCAGATCTGTTTTTTTTTTACCTGAGCAAAATCCACCCGTTTTCGGATCTTCCCAGTTAATGTCCGACAACAGTAGTGATAACCGAATTTGCTAAAAATGCCGAACACCGCCGTCATTATTCCTGAACCGATCCGCACCCAAGACTGGAAAATTTCTTTTGGAAATCGAGACGACCTTGCCGCATTTCTAGAAAGACTAGACGAAATTTGCATTTCGAAAGGCATTGATAAAAACGGATTAATGCCATACTTGCCCGAACTGTTAAACGGGGAACCCGCTTTGTGGTTCCGTAACAACCGATCGTTCTGGAACTGCTGAAATGAATTTGAAAGCGACTTCCGAATTTTCTATTTCACTGTAAACTATCCAATCGACTTAGAGGTCGAAATTGGCCGAAGGTTGCAACGAAGAAATGAATCTGTAACTAGTTATATAATCGATCTTCAAACCTTAATGAGACGACATGGGAACTTATCTGCTGAACAACAATTAGCTTGGCTATATAGAAACTTGTTACCAGAGTTCCGACAACAAATCCGAAAGATGGATTACTCCAACATGTCTTCGTTTTGTCAAGTAGCTAGGGAGTTCGAGTTGTTAAGAAAGGAGCTCCAGAATATTCCGACTATAAGCTCTGCTCAGAGATATACTAGCTCACGCTACCCTCAGACCGAATCCCACCGATATCACAATACTGATCCGCCACAAAGAACAGATAGCAGCAACCCCATTCTGATAGCTGCTGCAGTCCCAGTTACTCAGTATAAGCCACAAATATTTGAACCACAACCATCTACTTCTCGTGGAGAAGTGTTGTGCTTGTGCTAGAAGAAGCAAGGAACTGAAAGAAAACAAAGCCATAAAAAGGAAAGTACATGTATCTGACGATGATACTGACAATTCGGAAGATATCGACATGGTCCTTGAAAGCGAGAGTGATTGCGAAGAGATTAAATCTCCGTATCCAAGTTTGCATTCAGATTTATTTGATACCCTTTGTGACAACCCAAACATAGATGACTTTGTTGTGGTAGAGTTTCCTACTTCAAAATTAACTGTGAATTATATAGGAAAAATATTAGAAATAAGTCGGTCCGAGGATTACCTTATAACATTTCTTAGGTTAAAATCTAAGGAACATGAACATTTTATATTTCCTGATATCATTGATAGAGCTTCCGTAAGAAAAGAATCTATTAAATATATTTTACCTAAACCATTACAATGCGGAAGTACCAAACGGCAGCAAGGATACTTTATGTTTAAAGTATCATTCTCTAATTTAAACATAAGATAGGTTCAGTTGTCACTTTTCGGTTTTATTTTTAAGTTCATTTGTGTTAAATAATTATAATTTTTTGTTTTTTTTTTGTTTGGGATTAAATTTTTTATTTTAAAGAGACGTAAATATTTCATTTTTATTTTTATTTTTTTTATTTTTTTTTTATTTTTATAAATAAAAATTAGCAAAAAAACTTGTATTTTTTATTATTCCTTAAAAATTGCTTTCACTGTATTTTAAGTTTCTTTTGCGTGGTTCATTGTGTCCGCTCGACTGATTCATTGTGTACCACCCGGTGGACACAATGAACCACATGCTACTTTTTTAAAAAATGTATGCCATTCTGAACCAAAAATGTTGATTAATGTTTTGATAATATAAAAAGAACTGCAAATAGATATACTAATACGTGCCAAAGTTTCATGACCTTATGTTACAATTGGATCGATTTACAGCCATTCAAATTTTAGCTGGTTCATTGTTGTACAACTGGTTCATTGTTGAACAACTGACCATATCTGGGGTTACTTCATATGAGAAAGTTTTTCTACTTCATGGAATATCTGTTGTTTACGTTCGAAAAATTAAATTATTTAAATAAATGTTCTCTATAATTTTTGTCTTATATAAAATTTCCTAAAATGGTCCGTATTCGAGAAATTTGACAAAAAGTGCAAAATTCAAATAAAAGTTGTTTGTAATATTATTGTCTATATTTTTGTTTTATAAATAATTTTCTTGAAATGGTCCGTATTCTATAATTTTTGTTTTATACATGATTTCTCTAGACCAAATGGAAAAATTTAAGGTAAAGTGTTCATTTTTTATTTTTTAATATTTTCGTTCGCAATAATAAAAAAATGTTTCAAGTAAGATGTGTGTGAAAAATGTATGTATTTAGTTCATCATTTAAACGTTTAGAGGGGTGATACAATAGGTTGTACAAAATTACAGGAAAAATCCTGTAATAACTAGACAGGAAAGTCATGTGTGGACACATCAGATTTATTAAATAATTAGGAAATTCGGCCCGCGTACCAAAAAGTTTGTGAACTCTTATACTAGAGGCTCTGAATTAATTGTGGATATTATATCGTCGCTGGAAAAATGTCCAATTTGATTTAGGACTACAACAAATCTTTTAAAATAAATATCTGTGATTTGACAAAGAAGCGTATCTCTCTTCCTTATTCGCTCCGTGCGAAGTCATGGAAAGGGAAGCAAAAGCGATACTAGCGCTAGCTGCGGATAATTCGTGCATTTTAGGGCGATATTTTGTAATTTTGGCATATCAAATATACGTATACATTTTACTTCTTTTTCAAAAAAGTAGGTTAAAACAACACAATAAGCAACCGGAGGTGCTTTGTTGAAAATTGTAAAAATACTAGCAAAAAAAAACAGTAAAACTTATATAAAAAATTTCACTAGAAAAGTGGAAATTAAATCGAAGAAATAAATGGATAGGTGTAAAATAAGAAGAAAAATTACCTTTATTTTTGTGATAATAACAGTAATGCTGGAAATAGTAGAGATCAGAAACTTGAAAGGCTTTAAATAAACAATAAATTATCATTTTACGATGTTTTTTATTATCTCTTTATTCTTAAATGTTCATTCAGCAAGGACTAGATTTCAAGATTTCTGCGTTTGATTATAATATGTAGCTGGAATGCAATTTTGTGATTTACTGATGGGAAACCAGTTTTAATCATTCATTCTATGTTTTCTTTCGAACAAAAATGAAAATATAAATAACGATCCTTTTTTATACATTTCTACTTCACTCTATTATTAAATGGCATTTTTTTATTTTGGCAGAATAGACTAATTCTTCAATGACAACTTATTAGACTCAGGCAACTTCTCATACATTTTCCAGTAAATACTGTTGCCTGCCTATATTTTATTATTGATTTTTAATGATTATACATAATTTTCTTTAATTTAAGCGGGAAAATATATAATAGCAATAAACTAATGTTTTACTTGTTTTACAAATCCATATACTTTTATTAAAACTAACATATATACTTTTTATTTACGAATTCTATTAAAACTTGTATTTGTCAGTATTCGCTCCGTGCGCGAGAGCAGCGCCAATTCGTTTTGATACTAATGGACTATTTCTGCGTACACTGACAAATGCAACTTTTAATAGAATTCGTAATTAAAAAGTAACTATGGTAGTTTTAATAAAAGTATATGGATTTGTAAAACAAGTAAAATATTAATTTATTATTATATATTTTTATCGCTTAAATTAAAGAAAATTATGTATAATCGATAAAAATGAATAATAAAATATAGGCAGGCAACAGTATTTACTGGAAATTGTATGAGAAGTTGCCTAAGTCTAATAAGTTTTCATTGAAGAATTACTCTAATCTGTCAAAATACAAAAATTCCATTTAATAATAGCGTGAAGTTAAAATGTATAAAAAAGGATCATTACTTATATTTTCATTTTTGTTCGAAAGAAAACATAGAATGAATGATTAAAACTGATTTCCCATCAGTAAGTTACAAAATTGCGTTCCAACCACATATAATAATCAAAGGCAGAAATCTTGAAATCTAGTCCTTGCTGAATGAACATTTAAGAATAAGGTATATTAAAGAACATGGTAAAATGATAATTTATTGTTGATTTAAAACCTTTCAAGTTTCTGATGTCTACTATTTGCAGCATTACGGTTATTATTACAAAAATAAAGGTAATTTTTCTTCTTATTGTATATCTATCCATTTATTTCTTTGATTCAATTTCCACTTTGCTACTGAAATTTTTTATATAAGTTTCACTGTTTTTTTTGCTAGTATTTGTTCAATTTTCAACACAGCAACTCCGGTTGTTTATTGTATTGTTTTTACCTACTTTTTTTTGAAAAAAAGTAAAATGTATACGTGTATTTGATATGCCAAAATTACAAAATATCGCCCTAAAATGCACGAATTATCCGCAGCTAGCGCTAGTATCGCTTTTGCTTCCCTTTCCATGACTTCGCACGGAGCGAATAGACAGAAATAGTCCTTTAATACCAAAACAAATTGGCGCTGCTGTCGCGCACGGAGCGAATAGATACAATAATATGGCAAATAATATGTGGACGGATGCGTAAGTAAAACGCTATACACCAAAAGTTTATTTGCTTTTCCTGTAAAATAGCTAAAATAGAGTTACGCCATTTTGTCTTTCCAGCGACGATATATTCATTGATATACATAATCTAATTTAAGTTAATAGTTAAGTTACCTTAATTTTTTCGAAAGTTCCATTTCCTGCTTTTTTATTACATCTTTCCTTTAATGCATCAAAATCATCTAGATCTGGAATAGTAGGAACAGCCAAACATGTACCTAAAATTATTATATTAGACTAAAATTATATTTGTTATGAAGAAAACAATTTTTAAAGTCGAATTAGAATATTGAAATATGATATTTTGCTTGCTGCTGTCAGTGTCAGTGAATATTATTTTTAAAGTCACAGTTTATTGCTAAAGAATCAGTTAGCTCACTCGGACCAGTTGAAAGTTCCAAAATAATATCCACTCCAGGGATACAAATTAAGGATACGCATAAGACTGCTGTTTTGTTATAGGCGGTTGTCATATATTGTATTATCCGAGTTTGCAGTGTATTAACTGGAACATTCAGATCAAAAGTGCCGATGCAGAGTGAGCGATCTGATTCTTTAGCTATAAACTGTGGCATAGGAATCAAAATGGCCGCGCCCTATGTTGGGCTTGTCGGACCTCTCTCTTGAACCATATAGTAATCAAAGTATGTGTCAGTATATTTCAGTTGACATTCACTACTTTGCAAGTAAATAAATCCCAACTATCAGTAGGTTACACATACTTTGGTTTTCTTTTACTATACGGAGAATGGTCGCACTGCGCAGCTTTCTGAGTGCCTTTTAAAAGGAGATAGAAAAGTCCGCCATTTTGAACCCTTATTACGTGTTGCCTACATCTTGGCGCAATATTTTTAATAGGTGCGTTTTAATCATCCGCTTCTGCTTCAGAATTGTCGGTTTTCTTGTTTTAATCTGACAGGTTAAAACGACTAAACCGACAATTCCGGAAGCAGAAGCGGATGATTAAAACGCACCTGATATTTTGCTTGCTGCTGTCAGTGTCAGTGAATATTATTTTTGAAATCACAGTTTATTGCTAAAGAATCAGTTAGCTCACTCGGACCAGTTGAAAGTTCCAAAATAACATCCACTCCAGGGATATAAATTCACGATTCGCAGAAGACTGCTGTTTTATTATAGGCTGTTGTCATATATTGTATTATCTGAGTTGCACAGTGTATGAACTTAAACATTGAGATCAAAAGTGCCGACGCAGAGTGAGCGATTTGAGTCTTTAGCTGTAAACTGTGTCACAGGGTTCAAAATGGCCGCGCCCTATGTTGGGCGTGTCGGACCTCTCTCTTGCCTCGTATAGAAATCAAAGTATGTGGTAGGTTAGTAACTAACTAATTGTTACGAACTAACGTATTGTGCGAAAAAAATCTCCAATAACGACCACATAAACTAATAAAGAATGAAGTTCAAAATCATGAAAATAGTATAAGACATACGTTGCAGAAAGTTCTTCTCATACTTATTCGTGAGGGAATAAGTGGCCTTCTGCAACTTGTATTTTAATATACTATTTCCATCTTAAAATTTTTTTTATGATTTGTTTTAACAATTTTCTTTTAAACAAAATGATAACACATTGCCTCATGATAAACTATTTTACATAATATCTGACATATTTTTAAACGATTCCGACAAACAACCTGCGTCGGAATAATTTTCGACACTCTTGAGCCGATTCCTACAAGACCTAGTTTATTAGGTAAACGTGAAAAATAACATGATATTATGGAAGAAAATAGTCCAAAAAGTGTTAAAAATTAGTTCTCAGAGACTATCGAATTTGGTTTGTTCAGATAGCAGAGAAAATAAATATGAGAAGTTAGTGTTGGACAAATCCTTTATAATCATTTTTTTTGTGATCGTATGTTGGGTACTTCCTGTTAAATTGTGTGAGAATGATTTGGATGCGATTGGTCACTGCATTATAATCTATGATAAGCAGCCAAGTTCTGCTATTACAAGATGACGCTTCGGTACACTCAGTTGAAGTTGAAAAGCATGCTGTACAAAAAACTTATGTAGTACATTTTCCGATGAAAACGAAATGAAGTCAGCTTCTGATGTGTATTTTGCAGACAATATTCGAAATATTTTTTTCGCGGTATAAAATAATTGTTTCACAGTCGATGTGAAAGGTATTTTGTACCAAATGGAGAAAATTAGAAATATATTAAATTTTAAAATCGTAACTATACCCTATTTAAACATTAAGAGAGGGGTAAATTCCCAAAAATATTTTGCAGTAATCATAAAACCAGAAAAAATTGACGTGCATTTCTAAGATAAAGCAAACATAAAGACAATAGTATTTTGTATAATATATTTAATGAAATAATATTAGATTCATTTTTAACGCAAAATATTTTTGCCAATTTACTTTCTCTTTATGTTCAAATAAAGTATAGTAACAATAGTATAGAAACAATAAGTATTGTATAATATAGTATAAATGTAAAAAATATTGTTTAGAAAAGATTTAGATTTACTTACCTAAGATTAATCCTAAAACCACAATACTTTCACTTCTCATTTTTGATGATAAAAATTCAAAAGTCTTTTTATCAATTTACTAATAAACTCGTTAAACAATGATCACTTATGAATGTTATAATAAGTACTAAAATTCTGTTGAACGTAATCTTTCCTTCGCAGAACCATTTGTGATATGAAAGAGGTCAAAACAATTTATACCACGCTCTATCTGGTTGTTTATAGCATTTAATTATTATAATTGTGTTTTTCCTTTCTTATTTTGGATGTTTATATTGATCATCGTTTAGTTAATTATTTTGAAGAATATAGTGATTGATTAAAATTTTGTTTATATAGATAATTAGGAAATACATTCTTATTGTTTAAATAAATATATAGGGTAGTTCCAAATTCGTGTCACACAAGTTTTTTTATTGGGAACTTAGATGACAAATCAAGTCAAGCTTTTTATTTTAGGCTCTATTGTTCTCAAAAAATAGTGAATTATCAACAAAAGAAGTGAAATAGGAAAACTAAGAAGTAACTTTAGAACTAAAGGGCCTTACCCATGCAACATCATGTCGTCATTATGACGTGATTTTTTGATGAACCTTACGTCATTTGATGACGTGAACATAACGTTATGGTAACGTGAGAATGTCACAGCGAAATGACGTCATTCCATACCGTCATTTTGACGAATCGATATTACATTAAAGTAGCGTGTATTTCGGATGTCCTAGGCTAGGTAAATTGACGTCATTATCACGATTCTACCTAACGTCAAAGTGACGTCTATATCCCAGGCAGCATACTAACGTCATTATGACATCTTATTTTCGTCATATAGGACGTCATTTATCCTCTGAAAACTAACGTGTCTAAATATGACGTGTTTATGACGTTGTTTTAATATCACCTTTGTCGTTATTCTTTATACTTATTTGAGACGTCACCATGACGTTACATTTGATATTGTTACTCCTTTGTAACTTTTCTATAGGAACTGTGGGTCACTTAATAAAACAAAATTAGAAAATTAAATAATTATAATTAAAAAGAAAAAAGTTTAAATACATGAAATTTTATTGGCAAAAAACATTAATTTATATAAATCCAACTGCTCCAAATGTGGCCAACTTGTTCGTTATTATTTTGGTTTGGCACAATGATTTTTCTGAGTGCCGCCATTTTATACTATTTCGCGAACCGGGGAACATTTTAGGAAACATCCTATGAATGTAAAAGATATAAAATCATTAAAGAATAAGGATAATATAGATATAAAAATACCTTATGCTGGGTTGATACTGATATAACTTTTTTCACTGACCCTCTTAACTTTTAACAACAATCCTGAATGCACACGGGCCACGATCCACGATGCACACACCATTACACATGGCCGATGCAACAATCTGCGATATCGTTCTCGTGCTTGCTCGAACGGCTCGAACACATACGAGCCATACTCCACAGACCGATAACCATAGACAGACGCAGTCATGTGTCACGTGGTGTCATCCATCTTTATGCGTTTAAGCGCCAGATTTAAACTTTAATAGACCTAACAGTTTTAAAAAATAATAGTTTAGGTCATATTATTTTACATAAATAAAATGTATTAAAATCACGTTTAATATAAACCTTAATTTAATAGTGACAATAAATTGACGACACACTGACGTCTATTTTGTGACGTCAAAAAGACGTTAAAGAAGTGACGTTATAATCACCTCATTTTTTGGTAACATGACGTCGATGACCAAGAATTACCAAAAAATGTCGTCAGTCTGCTGCCTGGGATTGGGTGTCCCAAGGTTGGATGGAATTATTAAAAATACTAAGCAGATAAAAGTTATTTATTTAATCCAAAAAAACATGAAAAATATATTATAAAAAATAAATTATACTGATAAATAAAAAAGTTATGAGCAAGAAACCAAAAGAAATAAAATGACAAAATAATATTAGAGGAACTGACAACATACCTAAAATTATAGATTTGATTTTAATTGGAGGAGGGCGAGCATGCTTTACGATTTCAACATCTTCAGTATCATCGAATGACAGCTTTCTAGTTGGCACATGTTTTTTTTTAGTAGGTCATTTATCAGCCTTGGAATGTAGATCTGAGGTAACTTTGACTTTTTTTAATTTGGTACATCACTTATCATTATCATCTAAAATAAAAGAACTATTAAAATACAGACCACTGAAAATTCTTAAAGATAGAAAGTAAATTGTGTATCTAGTTGTAAAAACTACCTTCTCAGAGCTATATATTGTTTTGATATATTTGAATTGGGGCCACTAACTTTTTTGTTGTAATTATTTTACTTTTACTTTGCAACTCCAATCCGATGTTTTATTATTTAATTTTTATTTTGTGATTGTAAATGTTTTAAATCTCAGGGTTCATTCGTTTCGTTCTTTCGTGGGTTCTGAGTAAGTTTCTACGAAACTTAGAAAATCAGTCGACACATAATACTTACCTATATATTATATTTTATCAAATAAATTTTTTTTATATAATAAACTGAATACGTGATGTTATATATTTTGTGTATACCTAGTTACGTGATATAATAGTATTGTTATTCACCCAAAAGAATCTAGCATTTAACCACCTACCTATGATTTTGTTAAAAATATCTTAATTCTTTCATCTGGCCCTTGGACTATATTTTGTTGACGTACATTTGTAACCTATTTAAATTGTACCTAGATAAACAGAGAAAGAAACACCATACATTTTATTTATAATGTAACTATTTATTACATATTGTGAATAAATTAAAACACATTATTTGTATTTGTTTAAATAAATCTAAATCCTAATATCCTAAAGAAATGACATTCCATGAAGGAACGATTTGACATTCATTCTCATAGAAAAACTAAAAAGAGAAGGTTTGAATAATAGGCGGGAATTGTTTCCTTGTTTGTAGTTTATCATATCGCGCTTCACGCGCTGCGAGCACTAAATAAAAGCCGTTTTTACACCCATATAATAATTAAAAAATGAATAAATTTTAAAGAAATCAATAATTTTACTAATGCAATCTTTTAAATATCACTTTAATACGATATAATGATCAAATACAGGGATAATTGTTATAAATTTATAAAGTTAAAGCTACATTTGAATATTATGAGGTGGTGTAAATCTGGCTTTGCTAATAAATTAGGTTATGTTACACTAAAACCTAAAACATGACAGTCGCGGAAAATATAGGTGAGTGAAATTCGATAAATCTTATTTTTAATTTAGTTTTAGTTAGATTTAAGTAAGTTATAGGTGTAAAAATATACTGAGGTCCTTAACGATGTCATTAACTTATAATAAATTTGTATTATCATGTGCTGCTCCAAATTGCAGAAACAAATATTATTTACATACACTTAATAAGAATTTTTTTACTTTTCCGTCCATTATTACCCTTAGTAGAGAGAAATGGTTTGATATTTTAAATATTCCCTACACATCTAAACAAAACTATTGTGCGAGGATCATTTTGACGAGAATGCCTCTACCAGCACTTTGCCTACTAAGCTCATTAAATTTGTCTTGCTTTTAGCTTTAAAAACATCTGTTTTAAATAATAATAATAATAATAATATTTATTGACCTTTGAAGCCATATCTACAAAATATGAATAAGGTAAGTCATACATAAATAAATAAATAAAATGAACAAAGTAACAATGCAACACAGTACAATATAAAAATCTATAAAAATCTCATATATCAGCTAAGCAACCGTATACTGTAGGAACTCATCTAATGAATAGAAAACATTCACTGTTAATAGCTGCTTAAGATCTTTCTGGAAGCCTTGTAGGGTTTGATTATTTTTTATGTTTGATGGCAGTTTGTTAAAGAGGTAAGAACCGGCGTAGTATGGTGATTTTTTGTAGCTGGTATGGTAATGTTGTTTTAAATATATATTTTCAGCATTTCTGGTATTATACCCGTGTATATCTTTTTTCATTATGAGATTTCTTATTTTATTAAAAGTAAAAGACAATAATTTATAGAGGTATATTGCTGTAACAGTAAGAATTTTATTATTTTTAAATATTTCTCGACAACTATCCCTGTAACCCAAACTAAAAATTAACCGTAATATTCGTTTTTGAATAATAAATACGCGAGAGATATCTGACGCCTGTCCCCAAACAGTAATGTTGTAGTTAAGGGTTGAATATACATGGGCATAGTAAATTGTTATTAAAGATTCCTTTGGCATATCATTTTTAAGTGAATACAACATAAAATAGCTTTTATTAAGATTTTTGCAAATATTATCTATTTGTTCTCTGAAGTTTAGATTACAATCGACAAGTGTTCCAAGAAATTTAGTTTTATTTGCTGAATTTACTAATACATTAACTTTGTTGATATTTACATCAAAGGGTGATTGGACAAATTTTCTGTCGCCGTAGGAAAAATTAACACAAATTGTTTTTTCCAAGTTTAAAACCAATCTATTACAGTCACACCATTCTTTAAATGCCATAATAATATTTTTAACTTTTTCTACTACCTGTCCTAAAGAATCGGCAGATACTATTACTGTTGTGTCGTCAGCATAAATAAACATATCATCCTGGTCTTTAAAATATTCAGGCATATCGTTAACGTACAGTAGAAAAAGTAATGGACCTAGTACTCCCCCTTGAGGGGTTCCTAGGTCATTATAAAATATATCAGACTGGATATTATCAACTGAAACAAAAAACGGACGACTTAAAATATATGAATTTACCCATGAATTTACAGGGTCTCTTATACCGACTGCATTTAATTTTTGACATAAGATGTTTGGGTCCAAACAATCGAAAGCTCGCGATAAGTCAAAAAATACACCGTAAGTGTACAAGTTTAATAACACCTAAAAATTACAGCACCAATTGTGAGGCAGGTGATAGTAGTTTGTTGACAATTTAAATTCATTTTTAACTTTTAGTGATGAACTGCAACCACTACTGTCTGACCAAGAAAATGAATTGGCTAGCCTTAAAATTAAACAATTCAATGTCAATTCACTTCATA